AAAATTAAATAATTATACACACACACACACACACACACACACACACACACACAGTTATATGTTTATATGAGAAAAGGCAAGGCAAAAGAAATATGCGTTGCTCTTAGAGTGGAAGGTAATGAGATTTGTGATGGTTATTAGTTCCTCTGGGAGTTCATTCCAGTCTTGGACCACCCCCAAGACAGTGCTATCCTTATTGTAGAAAGTTCCATTGTGCCAGAAGAGCAAAGTTCACAGCCTTGGACTTTATCTTCAAGCTGTGGTGGATCTTTTAGATAATCTGGGCCTCAGCCATTGAGCACCTTTAAGATAACGATGAAGACCTTGAACTTGATTCGAAATTCCATGGGAAGCCAGTGTATAGAGCAGAGGACAGATGTGATATGTTTGCAGTAGCCTCTGTTGCTGAGGAGACTTGGCCCAGTGTTTTATATTAGCTGGAGTTTCCTAAATGCCGAAGGCTTCATGCCCAGGTATATGGCAGTGCAGTGCAGCTGTGGGGGGGCAAAGGTCTGAATAACTGAGGCCAAAGCATCATTCACCAGGATGGGACAGAGTCTCTGAGCCAAGCAGAGATGGTACAAAATATTATTTGCAAAGACTGCTATGTGAGAGCTTGGTATTAGTGAAGAATCCAGGAGCGCTCCTAACCTATCCACTGTACTGCCCAATTGTGGGCATGCACCTTCAACATTGCATCCACAGACCAAACTCTTCAAGATAGTTTTACTCTATCCACCAGCATAACCTCTGTCTTGCTCATGTTCAGCTTCAAGTGTTAACTTACTGAATTCCAAAGTTTGTAAACTAAGCCTATGGCAAAATGATGCTCAGGAATATGTGTGATTAAATTGGAGAACTAAAGATAAAGCGTAAGTGTTGCTCACAATCTAAGAACTTTGATGCAGAGCTATCCTGGATTAGGACAGTGGAATTAATCTCACCTCCAGGAGGTTGTTGGAAATAGCCATAGATCCAGACCACTCTACAACTTTCAAGCATTATTTTATAGCCAATTAGACATCACCTTAACTGGTTAAATGCAACGTGGTTCCGTTTATTTCTGACCTCACAACTCAACTTAAGGGCTCTTGTCCATACTACATTTTTGTGAAATCCCAAGAGATGTAGGGCTGTTGTAGTCCGTGAGGATCAGGTGGATGTATTCCATATAATCAATTTCGTATCTGTTTGAAGGGAGTGAGCATTGGCGTACCTCAGTCCTATCCATTATCTTCTAAATATTCTATCTTATAAAGTAAAACTGTATTTAAGTGGTGGTAAAAATAATCTATACTTGATTTTTTAAATTGAAGTTTTACTTTAATTCTTGTCAGCTTCTCATTTTACTTTCATATTTAGGATAAGAATTGCTTATAAAAGACGATAAAATGCAGCTTTCAGATTACTTATAGTTATGTGAAAATGTTCTCTTTTCATCCAAAAAAAGAAAAAATATACTACATACCTAGGAAAAAGAGAGAGACTGCATCTAGCACTGGAATATTTCATGTCCTTGTTTCTGAAGTATCATAGGGAATACATGAAAAGGTTTTTTTAAAACCTGCTTTGATATTACTTTATTTAATCTATCATTAAATAACCATCTTGATATCAAAAGTTTTTGTCCCATCTTTCGCTCAATTCTAGAAAATTTCCTCTAGGAAATGAATTTGTAATTTGGTGTTAAAACAGTTATCAAATACTTCAGTATGAAGCGCATAATAGCCTAATTGTACACAAAAGGACGCAAAAAGGGGAAACAAGCAGGACACAGTATAGCATATAAGGCACATGGCCCAAGCATGCAAAGAACATACAGGGCTGGTTTCAACAAGTTCTTGCATTTGAATAGCTCTGGGATTCTAGAGGTGTAGACTATACCCTTTGAGCATATGCTCCTCAATTAGAAGCACAAGCCATCTGGCATATATTTTCTACTGCTCTCAATATGCATGATTCTTGGACCGCTGTTGGGATTTTGGGATCTATATCAAAAAGGGCTGGTCTATGGAAGGCACAGTTCTGCAGGACAGGAAATGGCCAACTGTGAACCACCTGTTCAGGAGTCCCTTGAATGGATTATTTTAAGTGGCCAGAGTGCAAACTACACTGGGCAGCTCTCTTATTCACATTTTTGGGGGGTTTCAGTGTTTACAAATTGGTGGGAAAAGCTCATAGGAAGGCCCACCTGAACACCTAAGCTTCAAAGGATCTGTGATTCTCCAAAACATATCAGAGAAGGTTGACCATTGGGAACCTGAGATCCTGTCATCTGGTAGAAGCAAGAGGCAAGGAGTGGCGTAGAGCTTTGTGGTAACATTGTTTGGTCAGGAACATTCTGAAAAGAAGCAATCTGGATTATAAATTTGTTTCATCATCATTTTCTTCCTCTTTTCTGGGGGTGGAGAAGGGATCTTTCTATTAAATTTACATATAAGAGAAATTATCATTTTTATTCCTTGTGCTGTAATTGCAGGACCTGGTAAAGATTAAAAATGTAGAGTATTGCAAAGTTGAAAGTCAGGCGAATGTAGAACACTTGCCAAAAGTGGGTACAAATTATAGTGTTCAGTAAACATGTGTGTGACTTTTCAGCCATGGAACAAAAGGAACAAAGTTTCTTTTTCCAACTATGCTAAAAGCCTTACCAAATATGAGATAATTAAACAGTGCAAAAATTTTAGAATACAAGACACATATTGAAAAAAAAAACAAGTCAATGCATGGTTACTATTGTTTAAAAATAAACCTACATTAAAGATCAAGGGCAATATAAAATGTATTATTGTCTTATTCTCAAGGAAACATCTTGCAAATCAATGTAACAAATAAAGGATTTCCAAAATTAGCCAGTGTCTGTTCCTAGAAAGGTACTGGCAAATCAAAATGGCAGGCCAATTCAAGACAGCACTAGGGAGACTGTGTTTAAATGAACTTTTCTTTCAAAATTAAACAATGAATATTGTCTATAGTAGGAGTTTAATACATAAAAAAGTAAGCATCTCTTATTCCATATAGTTTGATTTCAGCCAATAAAAATATTTTTATTACTAGTTGGTGGTGCTTTCATGACAACTGCATTTTCCTCATTATTCAGAGCACAACTTTTCTCTGGGATCCTGTGAAAAAGACTTAAGATCTCCTTTTAATAAGGGCTGTAGGACCCGGCTCCAATGCTGCAGCTGATACCATAAACACTATTTTAATTGGTGGAAGGGCCTGTCTGCACATAAAAACTTGAGCTATAATTAAAAGTACACCAGGATGTATGTATACTTGTGGCATGTTTAGTTCTACAGCTCTTGTTTTAATATATATTTACTTTCTCAGAATAAAAATGAGTGAGATGTAGCATCCAAATAGTGTGGGTTCCAGGGAAAATATTATAAATGTTTGCCCTTTCCCTACTCCATCAACCAAGCTATCCATTCACATTTTTTTATTATTCTAATAAGTTTGTGCAAAAATTCAGCATCACCATTTTAAGAACATAGCAAACTACTGTAGACAAAATTCTACCATCATCATTTTAATAAAACACATACCCCAAAGAATCAAAATGTGGGTACTCAACCACATTGTCCCTGCCCCTAATGTGTATATCCTGTTAGTCTGTCAGAAAGGGAGTTGCGAGATCACCTCCTTCCAGGGGGGGGAGGAGGTAAGGGGGGAGGGAGAGAGAGGAAGGAAGGGGGGAGAAGGAGAAGAGAAGTTGGATTGGGAAACTGGAAACTTTGCTTCCCTTCCTTGAAGATCTGGAGGAAAAGTACAGAGGTGAAATCTTCAGTGCTCTTCCACAAAGGCCCAGAGGATTGATGTAGGAACTGACAAGTCAATGGGGAAGAACATTCAAATCAGTTCCCTATTGGCCAAGAGTAGCAGAGGTGGCAAGGGTAGATTAAAGCGTCACTCTTTTTCTCCATGGGCTAGGATGATGGGAATAACTCCAGAAATACACCATAATGAATACAATTATTTTCATTTACTAAAATAACATTTGAATTCAAAAAGATATATTAAATGTGAATGCTGGAAAATTAATGTATGCTTCCCTTTAATAGAAAAAAAAAAATACCTCCCCCGCCCCCAGCCTGATTCCAAACCTTATATCAACATCAGCAGGATTTTTGGGTGCTTAGTACTTTGAAAAATCAGACCAATGATGCTTTTCCTTCTACAAAGGAATTTTTTTCTCAAAACTGCTTCCATATCAACATCATCTTTGTAGTATCTTGAAGAAAATGTAAAGAAGCATTTCACTAACTGTGGTCAGAGGAATGCTTGTGGTCCACAGAGCACTTGCTGGTCACGTGGAACTGGTTTCTCCTCATTTCCAACTAATAAATCACATAGAGAAACAGCCTAAAATTACATTAAATAATTACCTAATATCACTTGTGCATGTAAGCAATGGCTGTAGCTGCCTCAGGAATGTTACACAATCAAAAATGAGAGGGCAGTCTGATTTTGAGGGGTTGCTGTATTAAAATGTAATCTATACTCTGAAACAGTGAGGACCCCTGATCTAAGGAACAAACGTATAAAAACTGAAAAGCATGGTCCATATTCTCGCTTCTGTTATGAGAGAAGCCACGTGGATTTCTTTAACCTAGGAGATTATATTGGTCCTTTATTACGAAGGACAGACATTAAAATGTCACAGACTCTTTAGGAAGACAGAAAGTTTTTTTAAAATCCACTCATTTCATATTCTGCAATTGTTACTAACCCCACAAGAAAACCTAACACCACCAGATCAGTGAATTCTATATAAGAACCAGAATGCGACAATAAGCACAATGGGGCAAGAAAAAAGATAAGATGTTGGATGGTTTTGTTTCAGCTTACATGACCATGCTATCTAAAGCACATTTTAAATCTGAATCCAAGGCAAGAAACATTTTCCATGCTTTTCTCCTCTCTAAATACACGTGCATATTATACTTAACATCTCTATATCTGTATTATAGCCTCGTAATGCCAAACAATCCAATTGGTTGAAACAAGGTCATGTGACCCATAGTAGCTGTCCCTCTAGTAGCATATCAGTGATGATTTTTAAACATAAAGTCTCATTCAAGGATGCCTGATGCTACACCACATTTAATACAAAGAAATCACGGGTCAGACACTCGGCTATTGCAAGGCGTATATAGTGCAGTGTAGGATGAGAGCACAAGTCTGATGGTGGTGGAAAGCTTGATTTTGCACACACCCCGTACTGGGTTGTTGTGAACAGGAGCAGCCCTCAATAGCAGCTTAGAGTAACCTGAGAAGCTGAAACTGAAGCTGGGGATCAATCCAACATAGAGGCATCTCAGACATGTCCCCTATGCTGCCAGCAGGAAAGTGAGATGATACAGGAGCCCTTTGGTGGTTCTATGCCTTTAGAGCAGTGGCTTTCAAACTTTTTTTCTGGGGAGCCAGTTGAAGAAAATTGTTGACGCCTGCGACCCAATGGAGCTAGGGATGAGGGGTTTGGGGTGTGGGAGGGGCTCCGGGCTGGGGCAGAGGGTTGGGGTACGGGAGCGAGGGCTGCGAGGTGGGGCCGGGTATGAGGTGTTTGGGGTACAGGAGGGGCATCGGGGTTGGGGGTGATCCCAGGGCTGGGGCAGGAGGTTGGAGTGTGGGAGGGGGTCAGGGCTCTGGGGTGGGGGTAGCAGGCTCTGGAGTGGGGCCGAGGATGAGGGGTTGGGGGGCTCAGGGCTGGGGTGGGGGGGGCCTGCGGGAGGGGGTCAGGGCTCTGGGGTGGGGGTAGCAGGCTCTGGGGTGGGGCCGAGGATGAGGGGTTTGGGGTGCAGGAAGGGGTTACGGGTTGGAGGGGGCTCAGGGCTGGGGCACGGGGTTACCTCTGGCGGCTCCCAGTCAGCAGCACAGCGGCAGGCTTCCCACCTGTCTTGGCACCACGGACTGTGCTGCACCCCAGAAGCAGGTCCAGCTCCTAAACATAGGTGCGCAAGTGGCTCTGCGCAGCTGTCGCCCGCAGGCACCATCCTTCCCTTCCCCAGTCCCCATTGGCCGGGAGTGCAGAACCAGTGCTCGGAGCAGGGGCAGTGTGCCGAGTCCTGTGGCCCTCCCGCCTAGAAACCAGACCCGTTGCTGTCCGCTTCTGGGGCACAGCACGGTGTGAGAACAGGTAGGCACTAGCTTGCCTTAGCTGGGCAGCACTGCCGACGGGACTTTTAATGTTCCGTTAGGGTCCCTGGGTGCTGAGCAAGGCGACCCAGTGCCTTACATGCCGCGACCCAGTACTGGGTTGCAACACAAACTTTGAAAAACACTACTTTAGAGGATGCCCTTTGCGCATTGTGGTGATGCTCCTATGGCAGACTGACCATAATGTACTGGCAGCATGATGAAAAAGGGATGTGCAACACTAAAGGATCTGGCTCTATAGTTGAACAAGATAAATTCATTTCACATTTGGGTACACATTTTCAAACACTGGTCTCCATTTTTACTGGTGCAAAACTGTGGGCACAAATATTGTGCTTGTAGATTTGGTTGCTTAGATACATAAATGATCTATATTTTTGGTGCACATACCTATGGATGAACTGCACCTACAAAAATGGAGACTCAGTTTAGGATTGGCTGAAAATCTGACCCTAAATTAGTAGTTGTGGCAAACTTCTATAGCTTTTTAATGCTATCATTCATAGTGTCTGGGGAGAAAAATATCAAATAAATATAATCCCAAAATAAAAGAAAATTAGAACAGTTTAAAACACACCCCAGGATACCAGCAGACACAATCAAACAATATTCTGAGTAAATATAAATAGCTAAAACAGATGCACGGTACAAATTAAAAACTAATTTACATTTATTCAAGATGGATCCTGATCTTAAAAGCTAGATCTCGGGTACTGGCTGAGACAAAGTCATTTCACCTTGTGATTCAAAATACACCCCTCAGCAAAGGATATTTAATAATACAGCATGTTTAACTTAAAAAATCTTAAATGGGATGATGAATGATACAAAAACTGGCATTTTCAAGTTCATAGGAAAAAAACTATTAACCTTGGGATGAAAAAATTCCTCCTATTAAGGAATAATTATCTAGGCCTCTGATGCTGGATATTATGAAGTCCTTTTTTCAACGTACAGGAAAATTTATTTCTCTATATACCCTATTTTCCAGTTAGTGTGATATGCAGAGAGAAGATATATGAATACATGAACAAACAATATACAGTTCACTTCTGTTTATCCACATAGCCTGGGAGGATGGTGAATTTTATATATATATTATATATATATATGGCAGGGGGCCTGACCAAGGGCATAGCCACACATAGGCTTGTGTCCATGTGGGAGCAGAGCAAAGACTGGAAGTAGTAAGACCCTGTGTGCCAGGTCACAATGCCACTCAAATATGGCCTAGCCACTGCTCCATTATGGCAGCAGGGAAGTGGTTCTGCCATTACACTATCCAGCTCTGGCTACTGCCTCCCCACTGGCAGAAGCGTGCCTCAACCCAATCATGGCCCTGGGTGGATGGCAGATGTTGGCTACAATCAGATTAGCTGTGGGAGATGGGAGACATGGGAAAGCAGTGACCAGAGCTAGGTGCTAAGGGGCAGAGTCCTTCTTCTGCTTGAGTATGAGAGAAGTGGTTGCACCAAGGAGTGGTCTTGAGACCTGGCAAACAGGCTACTGCTCCAAGTCCCAGGCTTTGTTCCGCTCCCCATCAATACAGGCTCCATCCAATGCCACCCGGCTCAGGTTACTTCCTTTTTTATTGATGAAGGCATGCCCTGCCCTCATCCATTGCTGGGTGGGGGCCCTGGTCAAAACCTGATTGTTTGGCAGTTGAGAGCCAATCAGAGCCTGTGTTGATGGGGAAGCAGAGATGTGCAGAATGGTATGAGGCGGCAGCAGCTCTACTAAAAGACTGCCCCTTGGTAACCTGACTCAATCTTAAAAAAAATAAAATAAAAAAATCTAGGGCTGACACCCCGCCATAATCCCCCTCACTTTAAGCATTGTGGCTGGTGCTCAGATTTGGGTGGGCCTGGGTGCTAAGACCCAACCAATCCATTCCTGGCTACACCACAGAGGCAGAGATAGATTTAGGGAGGCTGAGCCTCCTCTAGTCTTAGCAATCTGCTGCCTATGCCTGGGGAACAGCCAAAACTTTTGGATAACTGGGCATTTGGATAAATGGAAATGCTATTGGAGAACATATTGTGTATTCGGATAACTATGATTTTTGGATAGAGAATTTGGATAATGAATTATATTGTATATCTTGTTTTAATATACATACTATACACACTGCAACAATTACTCCGAATATTAGCAACATATATTTTGTATTTAAATACAAATAAAGTATAGTTTATTTTGCCTGTTTCTCAGAAGATTTAACCTAATCCAAGTTAAATGAAAAGGAATGCTCATCCCTTTTGTTTTCTGCTCCATTTCAGATGGTCATTATGAATTACTATTCACATATTAAGAGACTTCCTAAGAGAACCATTTTCTCACACAACAATTTCAGCTTCATGATGCCGACAACAACAATCACCATCAGTTTTGCTTACTCATTTACAAGCTGTTTTATGTTGCTTCTATGAATAATTTAATAATAATAAATATTTGAAAAGAACAAAACCTTTTAAAAGCATAGTTTTAGCTTCTCACACAGGGAGAACACTCATTGTTAGCTGCAGGAGTTATGAATGAAGAATTCCATCAAATGGGGACAGTAGAATGAGATTTGTCCATGACACAGGCTTAAGATTCAAATGACAGTATAGCTATTAAAAGTTAAGAAATTCAGTGACATTTGGAGTAAGAATCATGATATCAATTCCAAATTATAACATTTTCCACAAAACCATCAACCAGTTAACCAAACAGAGAAACTTCAACTATTTTTAAGAGAACTTAATGCACTTGATTTCTTGACATTTCAAACCACAATAGATTCAACATCAAAAGTCTAGCTGAATAAGTTACAATGCTGAATGTTCAAACAGGATGACCTGTGCCTGACATTCAGGCATTGTTCGTTTGATAAACTTAATTTGGTCCAATTCTGAACTTCTCATTGGATTTTGAGGTAGGGACTGAACTGGGTCAGTTACATTGTATCTACCAGCCTGGTAAGAACTGTAGTACTCTATTCCCTTTTCCCCCGAGTCTCCCCGCATCTTCAGCTTCTGTCTAAACTGGACAATTTTATAGATTAGAAAAAGGATCACAGCACATGCTAAAATGAAAAAGGCTAATAAAATGTCAAATGCCTGATTCAGTTTCTCCACCTGCTGTGTACAGATTAGAGACGTTTTTAAGGATACAGATGCAGCATCTGGAGGAAATTCACTTTTCTGTTCCATGGTCAAGTTAACTGGCACAATCTGTGCAGCTGTTTGCACTGGTAATACTGATAACACTGTTGTTGCTTCTGATGGATTCCCAGCAGCATATTCTTCATAAAGAAATTGACTGGCAGATGTGGTTGGATCTCTTCCCCAGAAAGTAACACGTTTAGTTCCAGCATTTTCCAAATGTACAAGTTTATCATATGTGGTTACCATATGCCATGCCATCACTAAAGTGGCGGTGCTATGATGGATACCTACAGATGCTACACTCCAGGCGGTTTCTGGATTAGTGGTAGTGATAGCACAGTTTGTAAATTCGGTCCATTTAACATAATGCAAAGGTCTACCGCGCATACTTGGGGGATTTTGACAATGGATTTTGACAGAGATTGAAGATAATGCTAGCCAATTACGTAGCCCAAGCAGTGTGCAGCTACAGTTCCAAGGGTTGTTATTTGCCTGTAGATGAGTTAATGAAACCAAAGGCTTGAGCACTTTAGGCTGCAAATTGGTAAGGTTGTTAGATGCTAGATTTAGAATCTTTAAAAAAGATCCCATTTTTTCAAATGCATTATCACCAATACTAACTATTTTATTCTTGTCTAGTTGCAGGTACATTAAATTATGCAACGAAGTAAAAGTGTTGGAATTTACATGTTCTAAATCATTATGGCTTAAAATTAACTTTTTAAGGTTATTTAATCCAGCAAATCCATTCATGATAATGCTTTTTATTTTTGCACTTTTTAAAGATAGATATTCAAGCCTGTCAAGTCCTTTAAATGCAAAAGGATGTATTGACCCAACAGGGTTGTGAGACAAGGAAAGTCTTTCTAGATTTTTAAGTATTCCAATGGCCTTTGATGGCACATGTGTTAAATTATTACCTTCAAGGTACAAATACACAAGGTTTCCAAGATGATGAAATGCTGTATCTGATATCCGTGAAATCTTATTGTTGGCTAGATTAAGCGTTTGAAGACTAATCATTCCCAAGAAAGTGCCACTTCCAAGGATACTGAGGCGATTTCTTTCAAGCGTTAAGTATCGAACTGAAATGAGACCACTAAATAATCCTCTAGGAACAAAAGATATTTGATTATTCTGAAGGTATAAACAATGAAGATCTGAAAGCCCTTCAAATATTCCTGGATCCAAACGTTTTATGTGATTATTATTTAGATGTAAGTAGCACAGTTTACTAAGTTCAACAAAAGCCTTTGGATGCACATATGAAATGCTGGAATTATCCAAATAGAGCACAGCAAGCTTCTGAAGGCCTGTTAATTCATTTGGAATTACATGCGATATATTATTCCCACTGAGGTATACAAGTACTGTACTTTTTGGAAAGTTCTTTGGAATGCTTGAAAGACCTAAGTTACGACAATTAACTTGTTTCCCAGTGCAGAGCTGGCAGACGGATGGACAGCCAAGTACCTCTTTCTGGAGCAGCAACAAAAGAAAACAGTTAAGGATATGGAGGAATACTCCTGTGCAGGGTACAGAACTTTGAAGTCCACACACATCCCTGTCTTTGGCTTTCTCAGTCATCTCTGACTTAGCTATTAGAGATAAAAAAAATCAAATTTGTAAATATCACTCATTTCAAGTTCTAAGGTTCTATTTGAATAATTTAAAAAAACAGATGCAACTCTTTGTGATAATTTTTAATATTCTCAGCCAATATGCCATATAAATGAACAAATAGTACTTTTAAATACTGTATTTTACATCTTCTCTCTTTTGACACTAAATAGTTAAACATCATAAAGATTAAACTGCTTCTTAGGCAATGGTCCTATATTAGAAGTGAACTAAAATTAGAGTAAAAGAATGGTAAAATGAATATGCTTGCCAAGCTAGTCGAAATATATTTAATCAGTTACTGTTTAAAAGCAACTAATTCTGTCATAACAATGGCTTTCAGTAAATTCAACACATTGTAAATTCTTTTCCTTAATTTTATATATTTGAAAAGTTTTAAAGCTTCACTGGCATTTATAAAGAAATACTGACTTTTTTTTATACATTGAAACAAGTTTCTTTTCATCAGTAACATTTACTTCCCTTTTTGAATTTTACTTTTAAGTGAGCCCAGTTACGTTCAAAATATACCCCCTCCTCCAAAAAAAAAAAAGTACTTACCCCAAACCACAAATTCATATTATCAGCTGGCTTGTGAGGCAGTTCACTGGACTTACTTACAAGTTTACTTTTTAGACGTGCTGTAAGACTTTTCTTAGCAACATTCCGGTTTATTAGAGCGCTCACGTTTTGCCCTAGGTTTTGCAACTGTTCACTCAGGAAACATTCTTCCCATAGGCTCTTCCACAGTGAGTGGTTAAAGAGAGGTTACCATGGATACAGGAAATAGTGAGACAGGAAGTCATTTTATCTGTGCTTCTAAAGTATAGTTGGAAAGGAAATCTCAGCTATTTATTTCTAGAAAACCCAGAAATAAATTCATTTGTTGTAGTACATAGCTGTTACAGTCCATACATGCTTAATTTATAAAAACTGGTGATGCATAATAAGAGTTGCATATCAGATGGCTAGGCAGATCTAAATATTACAGAGTAAAACATATCTATTGTGATAACACACATCGTAAACGTAAAAGCATTTATTCACAAATAGAAAAAAAATCATGTAAAACATTTACACAGTTCACTGACTACAGAGAAAAGTTATTCCGAAAGCAAACAACATAATTAACGTAGTCTTGCCAAGTAAGAAAGTACTGAGGTCTATAAAAGGGGACTTGGACTGTGATCTCATCAGGTCTCACAAATTAAGTAAAATCAGGTCTGGTCAGTATTTGGATGGAAGAGCAATGAAATCTTAGATGGTGTAAGGAAATGGTGTGGTGAGACACTAGAAAGCAATATTTTATCTAAGTCATTTTTTGAACTTAATCCTGCATATCATAACATGCCATTGTGTTGCTGGAGGTGTCAGATGCAATTTTCAAAAGCATGCAAGTGACTTTCATGTGCTCCTAAATCATTTAGGTGCTTTTGAAAATACTATGCTTCATCTTTGGGAGGTATAAAAACGGAGGTTGTGAAATCTTGCGATAATTAAAAGATCTTGTGATCATTTCTGTAAGAGTGGAATTCTCTGCATCCATGTTCCAGCCAAAATTAATATGACTGCCTAAAATTCTCCCTGCAGCTTCAACTGGAGAAGTTATTATCGTCCCTCTTAAAACATAGTTTTGTAGTTATGTATGCAGAATTCATGACATATTACACATATAACTTTTTACATTTCAGCAGTGATCCAGTCATCCCTATGATAAGCAGGCTGGTAGCACCACCCGATATTAAGGCTGCCTGACACTTACCACCATAAGACCCTGATTCAGTTACTTATAACTTTCCCAAACTGCAAGTGTTATGGCTGAAATTTTCCATGCTAGATAAACTGCCTAGCTTTAACTGAACTTTTCCCCCACCAAAGGGGGCTGAACCTTTTGGGAGGAAAAGTTCAGTTAAAACAGTTCAGCCATTTCCAAGAATGAGGTTAGCGATAAACCCATTGTTTTGTCCATATTAAAACACTCTGGTAACTTTTTCTTTGAGGATATCCAATGTCCCCTTGCTTTGGAACAGGGACTTAAAATTGGCTAGGGAGGGAGAGCTGAGGAGGGCTTTGGGTCAGAGATGTGTGTGTTTGCCATCCCTGTGAAAAATCCACTCAAATTTGGCCAAGTTATAAGCCTCTGAAAAATATCACTTCACACATGATTATTGGAGACTTACTACAGCTTGGCAGCTAAAATCTCTGAAGAGTCTGTCCTTACTGAGCATGCATATTACACACAAAAGCACTGTGCTAAGAACATTAAGGTCGCAAAATCAAACACTCAAACGTCAGAAAACTGCCAGAATTAAGGTTGCTCGTTGAACCTTAATTTGGCTCCTTTGTCAATGTACATTAAGATAATTTTTATTTACTATTTTTCCTACAGGACCTTGCCTCATTCAGTGCACAAAATGGATAATACTCTCTGAATGGGTATCTAGTCACTATTCCTTTTTATCCTCATCATTCAGTGTATGGCTCCATGTCTTATTTACTGCATAGTATTTAAAACCTGCACTGAATACAAAATTATTAAATTTCCTTATGGACTTTTCTATGACACCCAGAACCATTCACAAACATTAATGAATTTATATTTACAACACCTTTCCAGTGTAAGATATTATCCCCACTTTGCAGATAAGAAATTGAACCATAGAGAGATTAAGAACAAATTTTTCAAGTGTCCACTAACTTTGGGAGCCCAACTTGAGAGTTCTAGGGCCTGATTTTTCAAAGCATGTAACCTTTTATAAGCATTTTATTCACCTAGAACCATATTGACGCAACATGAGTCATCAGCAGAGATAGGAACTTTAGATCCGCAGCACAGACCTCTACCACTTGAGCTAACAGGTAGCAGTAGTAAGCTGTTATCGTCTATGTGGCTCAACCACCAAAGGGGGCTTTGCCAATAAGTTTTCACACTATTTGCTAGACAGCACCAGAATTAACACAAGTCAATTCCAGGTTCTGGAATTATAGATCCTTCTGCCTGTTACTGGTCTCAGACTGCTCCTATCCCTTCCCTGGCTCCAACTTCCTTCCCCCCCTTGCCTCCTCACTCCTTTGCATTCTAGTCAGGCTGTTTTCTCCTCTTCCTCCTTGCTGTCATGATGCTAGGAGGGGAGAATTTATAGTGTAGAAGAGACAGTCTTCCTGCTCTCAATTCTGGTAACTGGCACCACAGCTGCTCTTGGCAGCTAGAATGAGAGTTGTGTGGCAATGGATGATTCTCAGTGTAGATGAATCTTTGGAATATAATGCTGCCTGCCTCTAACAAACCTCTACAGCGGATGTGCAAACTGTAATTTTTCAGAGGCTTTTAACTTTGCTAGAGGTGGGTAGATTTTCATGGGGACAGCAAAGGGCACATGCTTGATATCATGGTGAAACCCCCAGCCAAATTTCAAGTTTCTGCTCCAATACCTGGATGCACTAAAGCTTCTCAACAAAATGGTTGTTTAAAAAAAAAAAAAATCAATGAGGCAAAACAACATACTTTTTCCTAACTTTGGTCTCAGAACTGTTTTTGCTAAAACTTTACAAAAAATCATCCTGAGGCACATATCTGGAAGGGAAAATTTAAGCCCTAAATTTAGCAAGCTTGTAAGGAACTGAACATAATGTCTTATAATGGAAACACCTTAACTACAGGTGTTGCTACCAGCCTTGCCTATAATAAAAGGGTATTTTTGGCACAAAAATGCTGACATGGAAATAACTTCCAGCCACTGTTCCAAACTGCATCATTCATCTCAGTAAGGTTATGCTAAGTGTACGTACAGTAAATGTATATACAAGTTTAAAGGGTTGATTTATCATCTTTCCTACATGTTTGCTTCATAAAATTAGGGACGCTTCTTTGTAGAAGGTAAATTGGTACCAATTCCTTTTAAAAGGCCAAATTCTTTCCATTACTTTAACAGAGTAACATCCTCAGAGAATGTGACCTGGGATTTTCAACAACCCTTCGCATCTGTATGAAATTTTTGTTTCCTAAAGCTTGTCACCCTTTTATATAATCCTTAGCAACACTGCAAATGGAACAGATGAACAGCTTTCCAGCTGCACAGAATGTTGTTGATAGATCCTTAGTATGCCCAATCAGTGGGAATTTTTATAGAAGCTTTTTTAGAGTACATGGTAAACACTGAATAACAATGATTTCTTGTCCCTTCCGTGAGCATACAGATTTTTTGCAGCAATTTGTAGTAGTAATGTAGTTTGTCATTTTAGTTAAAATTGTCTTTTGTGCTTAATTTCACAGCTATTGTAACGAAACAAACAGTAGTACCAAAAGTTAATTTCAAGCCATTTTTTGATGAGGATTAAAAAAGTAACAGTCACTTTTTTTGAAACACAGGAATTCCAGCATAAATGGAATGTACATGAAAAAGAAGTTAAAATGTCTTGTTAATTCATGTACAGAGCACGACAAATGTCATGTACACACCAACTGAGGCCCTAGCCTGCAAATGATAGTGTGTGATTGCAACAGCCTGCTCTTACACTGTCATTTGCAAGATCTGGGCCAAAAACAGCATTACCTATTAAAATAGGCAAAAGCCTACACTTTTCATTTTCACCTTATAAAAGCCGTAATGGCCTTGTTACAGAGTATCTCTTGGACAAAAAAATGGCTGGAGTTAACAGGCTGAAGCAAAATGAACTATGCCCACCTGGCCTTTTATCCCAACTAAATTCACCAAGGTTTGGTCATTATTGCTGACGTAATTACTCTGATTTTGCAATCTGTATTTTGGATTTTTTTTTTCAGATTTATTTCTCAATTTAGCAAATATTATTTATATAGTGCCATAAATATGCATGATATTTTACTGACAAAAAGTACAATACTTGCCCTGAAAATCTTTCAATCTAGAGTGCTAGTTCTGCAAGCTGTTTTGTAATGACAGATGCTAACAGAAAATTCTAGGTAAGCAAAAATTAGAATGTCAAAATCTAATAGAATAGTGGCAAGGCCATATTCATAAAATGCATGCTGTGCTTCTTTTGTACATTAAAAGCAAACACGATCTTGTTTTCTTTAAAAGAAAACCATAAATTACTGTCTGAAATTATCTTGTTGTACATAGGCATAATAATAACAACTCTATGTTAACATTACAGGTAAAACAGTTCCTTTCCAAATTCCACTTAAGCATATTGCAGAATTCCCCATCACAGGGTATAAACAGTGGGGTAATCCCAACTGTCCCGCAGTTCCTTTGCCAATACAGAATCCAGCTGTTAAAGGACTTCATAGTAGTGGGAAAGGATGGTTGGTCATTGAATATTTATGGAAAATGCATCTTGAAAAACAGTAATTAAGATAATTAACTGTTTCTTCTTCAAGTGCCTGTCCATATGTATTCCACTCTTGGTGACTCACAAGTAATAACCTGATTCTTAAGAAGAGGGTTCTCAGAATCTAGCTGAATAGTGATTATAAACAGCTCTGCCAAAGTGGGAATCAGATCTTATTGCCTCCACTAAGGAGTAATGTTTTATAAATGTATGTACAAAACCACATGTTGCTGTCCTACAGATTTCTAAGATTGCAAAGCTTCCCAAAGAAGATGGCAAAACTGCCTAATCCCCAATGGAAAGGGCTAAGTATCAGAGGGGTAGCCGTGTTAGTCTGAATCTGTAAAAAGCAACAGAAGGTCCTGTGGCATCTTTGAGACTAACAGAAGTATAGGGAGCATAAGCTTTCGTGGGTAAGAACCTCACTTCTTCAGATGCAAGAGGTCTTGCCACAGGACCTTCTGTTGCTTTTTAATGGAAAGGGCTGTAATTCTTCACAGTGGGTTTAAGCTAGTTAAATCACAGCATGTCTTAATGTGTGTAGAAATCCAATTAGATAATTTCTGGGTCAATATAACCTGACTTTTTACCCTACCTGCGTAAGCTACAAAGTTCCCAGGGGAGGGAGCACCCTAAAAGGCCTAGTCCAGTCTACTTAAAAAGACAGTGTCCAAAAGGGTGTGAAATCTGGCTTTCCCCCTTTTGTTGGAGTGAGGTTTATGGAAGATGACAAGTAGATGTAGCAATTGGTTGAGAAGGAAGTCATAGCTTACCTTTGGTAAAAATTTTGAATGAGGTGTCAAGTACATAGAGAGGTCCTAATGAAACACATTATAGAGAGGTCCTGTCATAAGTGCTTTTATTTCTCCCACCCGTCTAGCAGATGTTATTGTTACTAGGAAATCTGTTTTTGATGGATAGGCAGAAAAGGAAATGTGTAGCTAGGGGCTCTAATGGTGAATGCACCAATCTGGTCAGCATTAATATCTCAAGGAAGGGGTGGCTGCCCAAGAGTACACATGCATAAGGCCTTTCAGGAATCTAACAAGTGTAGGGTGTGAAAATACTGAATGGCAGGATAATTAGCTGTATTGCTGCCAGGTGGCCCTTTAAGGAGTTTATAACTAGTCTGGAATTGAATAGGTAATCCTCAATAGCAGGTATTGGAGCCTCAGTTTGAGATAACTGATAGAATTACCAAATTTATAATGTCAATGAGGCCAAAAGAGCTGCTGGAGCAGCTCCATGAACCCTGATGGGATGGAAACTAATTAAGGGAAAGAGACAATGTGGAGGCAAAACCCCCCTGAAACATGTAATACATATTACACAAAGGCCTTGGCTACACTGGCGCTGTATAGCGCTGCAACTTGCTGCGCTCAGGGGTGTGAAAACGCACCCCCCCCAAGTGCAGCGAGTGCAGCGCTGTAAAGCGCCAGTGTAATCAGCGCCTGCAGCGCTGCACACTCGCTCGCAGCGCTGCACGCTATTCCCCTTGGAGAGGTGGAGTACTTGCAGCGCTGCGAGAGAGCTCTTGCAGCGCTGGCGGCGCGACTACACTCGTGCTTCACAGCGCTGCCGCAGCAGCGCTGTGAATCCCCAAGTGTAGCCAAGGCCAAAGACTGTGGTTTTGAAAGCACTGGAGAGCTATTTAGCACAGACCATAACAGTAGGCAGTGCTGAAATTCAAAGAGCCTAGGATCTCAGGAGTAGGAAATTTAGAAACCAGGGGTCAATAACATCCTGTCATCCACGATTTCATGAAGTTCTGATCCTTATCTCTTGATTTTTCTCTATAATTCAGAAGAAAAAGAAGTTTCAGAGTAGCTGCCGTGTTAGTCTGTATCCGCAAAAAGAACAGGAGTACTTGTGGCACCTTAGAGACTAACAAATTTAAAGCTTAAATTTAAAAGCTTATGCTACAAATTAAATTTGTTAGTCTCTAAGGTGCCACAAGTACTCCTGTTCTTTTTGAAGAAAAAGGTGGTGGTTGTTATCAGTTGGACATTTGTGAATCCTCTCCAAACCATGACAGTAATTAGCTTCTATACTTCCTGAAATAGGAAGTAAGAAACAGAAATAAATCCTGAATACTTCAAATTTTTTGGGAAATATGGGAGGGCATATTGGAATTCAGACTTATCTCTAGTAAAATGGTTTGATCAGAAATGGGGAAGTGTTAAACTGCACATAAGAGAATTAGAATTAGTTTCCTCCTATTTTCTACTGGAAATGCCATATTCCAATATTGGATTACCCTGTTTTTCCTGTTTATGGATTGGTGTAGAAGAGACAAAAAATTATGCTTATTAAATTGATATTACTGATTCTTAATACAAAATATCCAGGGGTATAACTGTAAATAAAGAGATCAGTGTTGCCAAAAGAGAGTCTTTAAATGTATTATTCCAAAGGAAAAGTTTTAGCAACATGCAAAGAAGATTACAAAAAAATTTCAAAAATGCCTACATGACTTAGCCTCCCAAGTCCCATTTTCAAAAGCAACTTAGGGCTTGTCTACACAAACATATAGTTTGTGGCAAGCTGGGGCGTAAATCAACCCTGCACTAGCTTGCCATGCGCTAACTGTCTATGTGGACCCTGCTGATGTGCACTAACAGTTCCTTAGTATGCTTTAATCTATCCCACTTGGCAATGGGGTAGTACCCAGTCAGTGTGCAGCAGGCTAGTGTGAGGTAGATGCCCACCCCAGCTTGGTGTGAACTAAATGTTCATATAGACAAGCCCTTAGGCATTTAGGAGTCTAAGTCTCATTAAAAGTTAGTGAAATGCCTATAAAAGCCTTCAATATCTTCAGTCTCATTTTATTTTTAAAATTTTATAACATATCTGCAGCATCACAAGAAAAAACAACAACCCTGAAATATAATAACTTGGAAGTCACTGAATTATGGTTTTGTGGTTAAGGTGCTGAACTGAGATTCTGGAGATCTGGGTTCAAATCCTGTCTCTGCCACTTACATCACTCTGTCTCTGTTCCCCATCTGCAAAATGGGAACAATAATGCTTCCTTTCTCTCACCCTTTGTTTTGTCTTGTCTATTTACATTGTTAGATCTTTGGGACAAAGACTGTCTTTTACTTTGTACATTCAGCAC